TTTTGTCAATTGTTCTTTGAGAAACAATGTCTTTTGTGCAACCTTTGAGCAGAGATCTCTTTTCTCTTCATTTTCTAAGTTCTAGTCTTTTCAGTCCCTGATGGTTCAGTTGGTAAAGAGACTGCCTATAATGCAGGTAGACCTGTGTTCCATCCCTGGGTCAGGAAGATCCCTGGAGAGGGAAATGGCACCCACTCCAATATTCTTGCCTGGGAATTCCTATGGACAGAGGAGCCTGGTGGGCTACAGTCCATGGAGTTGCGAGAGTCGGACACGACTTAGCGACTAAACTACTACCGGGCTAGTCAAAGTGTCAACCAAATTTTAGTTAGAAGGAAACTTTTACCAATTTAAGAGCATACATTTTTATCTCTTGTTAAAAGAGGCTATCTCTGGGAACTCAACACAACCTCTTTCAGTTAAGAAATCTCTTCATAAACAGCAATAAAGTCACTGATGGAAAATACGGGTTTCCTGGTTAAAGTCTGTAAGTCACAACAGCCTGTAGCGATTTATATCTGCTGTCCTTGGTTTATACCTTGGCTTCTGCCAAGTGGGCTGGTCCATTGTTTAAACTCCTTCAGAATTTTGTCTTGTCTTCCCCTCTGTAGCCCATAATATCTACCTTAATGCCAAAACAAAACAAGTCACACTTTTATCATCTCTCTTGTGTCTGACTCTATGAAAGGTTTTCAGGAAATAAATATGAACAAGACTTGGAGGATAAATGTCTATGTATAACTGAACCATTTTGCTGTTCATCTGAAACTAATCAGTTCATTTCAGTTCAGTCACTCAGTCATGTTCAACTCTGACCCCATGAACTGCAGCACACCAGACTTCCCTGTCCACTACCAACTCCTGGAGCTTGCTCAAACTCATGTCCATTGAATTGATGAATCCATCCAACCACCTTGTCCCTTCTCCTCCTGCCTTCAATCTTTCCCAGAATCAGGGTCTTTTCCAGTGAGTTAGTTCTTTGCATCAGGTGGCCAAAGTATTGGAGTTTCAGCGTCAGTCCTTCCAATGTATATTCAGGGTTGATTTCTTTAGGATTCTCTGGTTTGATCTCCTTGCAGTCCAAGGGACTCTCAAGAGTCTTCTCCAAAACAACAGCTCAAAAGCGTCAATTCTTCAGTGCTCAGCTTTCTTTATGCTCTAACTTGCACATCCATACAGGACTACTCGAAAAATCATAGCTTTGACTAGACGGACCTTTGTCAGCAAAGTAAGGTCTCTGCTTTTTAATATGCTGTCTAAGTTGGTCATAACTTTTCTTCCAAGGAGCAAACATCTTTTAATTTCATGGCTGCAGTCACCATCTGCAGTGATTTGGAACCCAAGAAAATAAAGTCTGTCGCTGTTTCCATTGTTTCCCATCTATTTGCCATGAAGTGATGAGACTGGATGCCACGATCTTCATTTTTGGAAAGTTGAGTTTTAAGTCAGCTTTTTCACTCTCCTCTTTCACCTTCATCAAGAGGATCTTTAGTTCCTCTTCATTTCTGCCATAAGGGTGGTGTCATCTGCATTCCTAAGGTTATTGATATTTCCCCTGGCAATCTTGATTCCAGCTTGTGCCTCATCCAGCCCGGCATTTCATTTGATGTATTCTGCATATAAGTTAAATAAGCAGAGTGACAATATGTAGCCTTGACATACTCCTTTCCCGATTTGGAACCAGTATGTGGTTCCATGTCCGGTTCTAACTGTTCCTTCTTGAACTGCATACAGATTTCTCAAGAGGCAGGTCAGGTGGTCTGGTATTCCTATCTCTTGGAGAATTTTCTCTGTTGTGATCCACACAGTCAAAGGCTTTGGCCTAGTCAATAAAGCAGATGTAGATGTCTTTCTGGAACTCTCTTGCTTTTTCAGTGATCCAATGGATGTTGGCAATTTGATCTCTCATTCCTCTGCCTTTTCAAAATCCAGCTGCAACATCTGGAAGTTCACAGTTCATATACTGTTGATGCCTGGCTTGGAGAATTTTGAGCATTACTTTGCAAGCATGTGAGATGAGTGGAGTTGTGCGATAGTTTGAGCATTCTTTGTCATTTCCTTTCTTTGGGATTGGAATGAAAACTGACCTTTTCCAGTCCTGTGGCCACTGCTGAGTTTTCCAAATTTGTTGGCCTATTGAGTACAGCACTTTTACAGCTTCATCTTTCAGGATTTGAAATAGCTCAACTGAAATTCCATCACCTCCACTAGCTTTGTTTCAAGTGATGCTTCGTAAGGCCCACTTGACTTCGCATTCCAGGATGTCTGGCTCTAGGTGAGTGATCACACCATCATGATTATCTGGGTTGTGAAGATCTTTTTTGTGTATTCTTCTGTGTATTCTTGCCACCTCTTCTTAATATTTTCTGCTTCTTTTAGGTCCATACAATTTCTGTCCTTTATTGTACCCATCTTGGTGTGAAATGTTCCCTTGTTATTTCTAATTTTCTTGAAGATCTGTAGTCTCTCCCATTCTGTTATTTTCCTCTATTTCTTTGCATTGATCACTTAGGAAGGCTTTTTTGTCTCTCCTTGCCCTTCTTTGGAACTCTCCATTCAGATGGATATATCTTTCCTTTTCTCCTTTGCCTTTCACTTTTCTTCTTTTCTCAGCTATTTGTAAGGTCTCCTCAGACAACCATTTTGCCATTTTGTGTTTCTTTTCCTTGGGGACAGTCTTGATCACCACCTCTTGTATGTCACAAACCTCTGTCCATAATTCTTCAGGCACTCTGCCTAACAGATCTAATCCCTTGAATCTATTTATCACTTCCACTGTATAATCAAAAGGGATTTGATTTAGGTCATACCGGTCTAGTGGTTTTCCCTGCTTTCTTCAATTTAAGTCTGAATTTTGGAATAAGTTCATGATTGAGCCACAGTAAGCTCTTGGTCTTGTTTTTTCTGACTGTATAGAGCTTCTCCATCTTTGGCTGCAAAGAATATAATCAATCAGATTTTATTGACTAGGGCTAGAAACGTTCACCACATCAATCAGTCAGATGGCATTGACCATCTGGTGATGTTCCTGTGTAAAGTCCATGTTTTGCTTACATGTCATATTTCTAAGGAGTGGTCATCAAACCTCTGACTCCAGGGTTACAAACCCATTGTCTTCCCACCTTCCTGGAAAAGAGTTCACCCTTCTGGGAACTCTGTCTTTCGCCAAGCTGTAATTACACAACTTGGAGTCATGCCCTATTTTGGATCTGTAAGAGATTATCGAGTACTCATCCCAGCTTGTTACAGATGCAGGAACCAAGGCCCCAGAAAAGTTTAGAGTTTTCTCAGGCTTCTAAAGTCAAATCGTGGTAGAGGAAAGGTTGGAACTAAATGTTATGGCTCCTAGGCCTGCAGTTGTGTTGTGTGGTTTGTTGTGCTAGTTGGATATCATTTTGACAGCTACAGTTCTTTTCTCTAACCCAGTACAGCAGACTGTTTAAAACTAACTCATAGTGAGAGTCAAAAAGAGAATAACTTTTAAGTTATTAGAAATGTTTCAAAATGACAGAAACAAATGTGTACCCTGTTAGAGGATTGTGTGCTGAACGTTTCCAGCCCCAATAATGGCATACGAAGTGCTGCTCCTTGCTTTTCTCCTCTTTCTGTGGTGCTGCATTTGTCCTTCAGAAATGTAGCTGCGGGCTGCATAGAACAAGTTCTGTCTCTCTGCATTCCCTTCACCCTGGCAGTTGTTTTGTACTAATCAGAAAAAAAAATGTACTTATTCCATGTATAGATTGATTCTTTTTGAGCTTGCAACTATATAGTAATCCTCTTTTAGCAGACCAATGTTTCTATGATTATCAGTAATTGCCTTTAGCTCACAGAATACTTCACAGACATGCAAGCAAAATATCAAAGAACCTGGCTGTAATTTTAACCTCAATTGGCAGTTTCTACATGCCCACAGCAATGGATTTTGATAATAATTAAAGGTGCAAGCAATTCCAGATAGTTCTTGGTTTGCAAATCACCAGGGGCCTCTGTTATAGTGAATATGGAGGCCCTTCCTCCTGTTAATAGGCTCCCCAACCTAATGTATTAGGTACAGAGTGGCAAAATTAGAAGTGAACAGATTTAACTGCTACGATACTGGAAGAAGTGGCTCATATTTCAAATCCTGGAAGAATCTGGTAAAAACTCAGGATTGGTAAACTCCAGAAGCAAATCACTGAGCTCAGGTTATGTCCACCTCTGACTTGTTCATCCTTCAGCCATGCAAGAGGCAGGGTGGCTCCTGCCACCAATTCCTTAATCTTTGCAGGAGGGCACTTCCTACACACCTTTCCTGTCAGCTCTCCCCTGGACTGTGGGTTCAGTAGGGCACTTCTCTCTCGAGATGTTGTAGCATAACCCCCCACTCCTTAGAGGTGGGCTATGTATGATGACTTCCTTCAAAGGAAGTGTATGACAGGGGGGATATACTAACTTTAAGTGAAGAAACTTGATAAACATGACCTCAGCCAGATGATGTAGGTTTGCATCAATGAGATATGTCATTGACTATATGCAGTCTTGGTATGATGTGATGAAAATGGCACTTTATCTTTGTGGCCTTCCTCCCAAACCACATAATCCCAATTTAATAATGGAAAAGGGCATACAGATTCTGAGTAAAGAATATTACACAAAATATTGGACCAGCACTCCTTAGTACTACAAGGTTGTGAAAACAAGAAAAGTCTGAGAAACAGTCATAGCCAAGAGAAGCTTAAGAAGAAATGATTACTTCTATGCAATTTGATATTCCAGCAGGATCTTGGAACAAGGACATTAAGAGAAAACAAAGCAAATCTGAGCAAACTATTAACTTTAGTTAGTAATGATGCATCAATATTGGTTCACTAATTGTGGCAAATATGCAACTAGTGTTAATAATAAGAGAAACTGAATATGAGGTGTAGGAAAGCTTTCTGTACCGTCTCTGCAATTTTCTATAAATCTGAAACTATTCTAAAATAAAAAGCGTATGGAAAGCGGTCACATATACGCAGCCGCTAGTGCTTTCCTTTGGGCTCCCTGGTGGCGCAGTGGTCAAGTCCGCCTGGGATGTCAGCGAGGCTCCTCCCCAGCGCTGACCTGGCCAGTGGGACCGCCTGTCTCCCCCTGCTCCCCGCACCCTGGTGCTGGAGCCTCCGCACTGGGAGACCTGCTCCCAAGGGCCCCAGTGGCTGCTGCGCCAGATGCCGTTTGTGCAGCTGCTCTCTGCACCCCAGGGCCCGAGTCTGGCCTTGACCCGCCATCCGGGGGGCCTTCCTGCAGCCGCACCTCACGCCCTGGGCCAGGCCGCTGCTGTGCCGCCGTCCCTGGGCCCGTAAGGTGGTGGTCCCACCCCACCGGGCCTGGGAGCCAGTTCCACTGGTTACCTGCATCCTCACACCTCACACCCTCACACCACACACCTCACACCTCACACCCTCACACCTCACACCTCACACCTCACACTTCACACCCTCACACCTCACACCTCACACCCTCACACCTCACACTTCACACCCTCACACCTCACACTCTCACACCTCACACCTCACACCTCACACCCTCACACCTCACACCTCACACCTCACATCCTCACACCTCACACCTCACACCTCACACTTCACACCCTCACACCTCACACCTCACACCCTCACACCTCACACTTCACACCCTCACACCTCACACCTCACACCTCACACCCTCACACCTCACACTTCACACCCTCACACCTCACACTCTCACACCTCACACCTCACACCTCACACCCTCACACCTCACACCTCACACCTCACATCCTCACACCTCACACCTCACACCTCACACTTCACACCCTCACACCTCACACCTCACACCCTCACACCTCACACTTCACACCCTCACACCTCACACCTCACACCCTCACACCTCACACCTCACACCTCACACCTCACACCTCACACCCTCACACCTCACACCTCACACCCTCACACCCTCACACCTCACACCTCACACCCTCACACCTCACACCTCACACCTCACACCCTCACACCTCACACCTCACACCTCACACCTCACACCTCACACCCTCACACCCTCACACCTCACACCTCACACCTCACACCTCACACCTCACACCCTCACACCTCACACCTCACACCTCACACCCCTCACCCTCACACCTCACACCTCACACCTCACACCCTCACACCTCACACCTCACACCCTCACACCCTCACACCTCACACCTCACACCCTCACACCTCACACCTCACACCTCACACCTCACACCTCACACCTCACACCCTCACACCCTCACACCTCACACCTCACACCTCACACCCTCACACCTCACACCTCACACTTCACACCTCACACCCTCACACCTCACACCCTCACACCACACACCTCACACCTCACACCTCACACCTCACACCTCACACCTCACACTTCACACCTCACACCCTCACACCTCACACCTCACACCTCACACCCTCACACCCTCACACCTCACACCTCACACCCTCACACCTCACACCCTCACACCCTCACACCTCACACCTCACACCCTCACACCTCACACCTCACATCCTCACACCTCACACCTCACACCTCACACTTCACACCCTCACACCCTCACACCTCACACCCTCACACCTCACACCCTCACACCTCACACCTCACACTTCACACCCTCACACCTCACACCCTCACACCTCACACCTCACACCTCACACCCTCACACCTCACACCTCACACCTCACACCTCACACCCTCACACCTCACACCCTCACACCCTCACACCTCACATGGCACCGCAGCAGCTGTGCCTGTGCCCCAGGCTGCAGAGCCGCAGAAGTCCCCAGACTCTCTTTACACCAGGTTCTCTGCTGCCCTCTGAGCCCTGGGGTGCCACACCCGTGGCCAAGAGGGATCCCCTGGCTGTAACGTGCCCTCATGGGAAAAAGAGAACACGAGGACACAGCAGGTCACCACGTGACTGTGGTCTCCCTGAGACCCCTGCAGTGCTCGCTGGCATATCCTGCACTGTGAGCCACAGAGACTTCACCCACCCTTTGCCCTCCTCAGGACTGGATCCTGTACACCCCCCCCCCAGCCAGTGCCCCCTCTTTCCCCACCAAACAAAGTCCTAAAAGGCCAGAAGAGGGGGCATCCCCCTCAGCTGTACAATTGTGAGAAAATCATTATTACAGGGACAGTGAGGACTAGTTATTAGCATGTTGACAAACCCCTCCACCCGCAAAATGATGGAAAGCAGAAAGTGAATCCCACCAACATTCCCCTGAACATGCCAACAACACTGCAGTGACAGAAAATCAAAGAAACTTCAGGAATTATACAAGAAGGAGGCTAGGGGCTTTTCTTCTTCTATAAGCTGTAGAAATGGGAACCAGTCTGGGTAAGTTCTCATCATAAATCATTCTTGAGAATGAATTCTTGAGAATTCAGCCCCTGGCACTGTCTTCCTGGGGGAGGGAAGGAGACTCTGTCTGCAATCAGTATGGAGTACTGCAATACTCCCTTTGAACTCTAAGGTGGAGGAGCGCTCTCCTTGTCTGAGTGTAAACAGTGGGATTGTTTCAGACTCATTAAGTCCTTGTTCTAGCTTTCAAACAAAAGTAGCCCTCACTCCTTACATAAGCCTTATGCCAGGAAACAGTCTCATGTCAGTAGATAGAACATAAATACCAAGTCAGAAGGATCAGAAGAGACTAAGCAAAAGCAAAATTAAACATAGCTGTTTGAGAGCTAACATTTCAAACCATGGGATGTTAGGAGTCTACTGACATCTATTAAATGAAACATCTATTAACAGGCTGTTAGCCAAGTGTGATAAAGAGTAGTTACACCTCAGTGCCATGGTATAGAAGTGGAACCTGGTGTGACTTTTTTACACCCTTGAGCTCTGCCCCACATCCTCTGAGACCATAAGAGAGACCATCTCTGCTTAGCAGAGATGGTGCAGCACTGTGACCCACTGCGGCCCCTAAGCCCGTCACAGAAGCACTTTGAGTCCTACATCCTGAGCTCTGGGTTACACACGCACATGTGTGTGTGACACAGAGGACTTATTGGTCAAAATCACATTCATCATCAGGGATCTTATCAACATCTGCATTCGCGCCTGGCTCCCTCCTTCTCAGGAGCAAGGAGTCTTTATCTAAACAAAATCTTATGACATGGTTTGGATCCTGGCTAACCATTTAAAATGAAATGTGTGATTTTAGTTACACACATACACATACACACACAGAAAAGATGTCATGAAAATGTCACTGTTATTTCTAGAGGTCCCATACTAAAAATAAATCAACAATGCATGGGGCACTACTATATATAAAATAGACAGCTAATAAGGACCTACCATACAGCACAGGGAACTCTACTCAATGCTTTATAATGGCCTATAGTAGAAAAGAATCTATCATAAAAAAAGAGTAGATATATGTATATACATAACAGATTCACTTTGCTGTATGCCTGAAACTAATACAACATTGTAAATCAACTGTACTCCAATAGAAATTAAAAAACAAAATCCTTAAAGGAAAGAGCAAAGAATGAAAAGTGCAAAAAAACCCAAAAACAAACCAACAATGCATGTGGAAAAGCAAAGCAAAATTCACCTTATGTTACGGTCTCAGAAGGTTAGTTACCAGAGTATTTGTTGAACATCAGTAATGAGTATTTATACTGCCTCTGTGCCCATTACTGAGCTAACCACTACACATAGAGACAGAACATTGAAACAAGAGCAAACATGGTTTGTTCTTCACACACAAAGAGAAGGAAGATGAGTTTCTGGTGTAGTCTTAATTTTGACCTCTGGTTGCCATATTTATATCTCAAAAGTGAAAAACCTTGCTGATCAAATTTCATTAACTTTCTATTCAATACACAGAAAAGAATACATTTAATGCTTTATTTCACTCAACAAATGTAATTCTAATACAACTCAAGTTGATGCTGATCTTAATTCCAATCTACTTTCTTTATCTGAAAACATCATGAAAGGACAGTTTTGCTGGTTGGCACAATATATTACCTTTTGGAGTATTAGGAGTTATATTCTTCTTGGTTTTATATTAGGAAGTTAAAATTTAAAGGCTGTCTGAAAAATAGAAAATTTACTTATGGTATAATTCTCTATGCTTTGGTGATTATCAGTTGCTACAATACCAAAAACAAAAAAGTGAACGAGGTAAAGTTGCAGTAGCTGAGAACTCAAGTAAGTGAGCTAGCCTGGACACCAGCTCTCTCCAAAAGCCCAGAGATGCCTCAGCCAGCACAGCGGGACTCTGGGAACCTCGGGCTTCACCATCTGAGCTCTGCAGCAAAAGAAAGGAGTCACCAAGAGCTTTTTAAAACATAGCATATTCCCTTTGAGTATAATAATCAGTCATGAGTTTCAGTTAGAAAAAAATAATTTCAAATAAAAATAACCACAATTAAAAAGCAGAGACATCACATTGCCTACAAAGGTTCTTAAAGTTATCGTTTTTCTAGTCGTCATGTAAGAGTTGGACCATAAAGAAGGCTGAGCACCAAAGAATTAAAGCTTTAAATCGTGGTGCTGGAGAAGACTCTTGAGAGTCCCTTGGACTGCAAGATCAAGCCAGTCCATCCTAAAGGAAATCAATCCTGAATATTCTTTGGAAGAACTGATGCTGAACTGAAGCTCCAATACTTTGGCTGCCTGACGCAAAGACCTGACTCACTGGAAAAGACCCTGATGCTGGGAAAGATTGAGGGCAGGAGGAGAAGGGGATGATGGAGGATAAAGATGGTTGGATGGCATCACCGATTCAATGGACATGGGTTTGGGCAAACTCTGGGAGACAGTGGAGGACAGAGGAGCCTGGCATGCTGCAGTTCATGGTGTCGCAAAGGTTTGGACATGACTTAGCGACTGAACGACATGAACATATGGATGTAAATATAGAGACAGACTTTTATAAAAACTGGGATTAAATTAGAAATATTGCTTTACATATGCTTATTTTATTCACACTGTATTATGACTGTGTTTTTGAAATGAAAGTGGAATTTGCCAAAATGCTAGAATCTGTTGAATTTTTTGTTTGTTCCTGGGGCATTTAGTAGCGCACCAACTCTTTTAACAAGGTCTAAAGGATAAGCCATTTTCAATCCTGAGACTTAACAAAATACTGTTCACCGGGCAAAAATATAGAGTTGGAAAGATTTTTAAGTCAGATATCCAGATGCTTTGTCTATGAGTCTGAACAGTTAACAGTTTGGAAACATCCTCATATGGGGGGGAGTGTGTGTGTGTGTGTGTGTGTGTGTGTGCGTGCACACGTGCTCCATTAGAGTCTTTGGATTAACATATAAATAATAAATGATTAATATCAGTGAGAAACATTTAAACTTTTAG